TACTCTACTCTACTCTACTCTACTCTACTCTACTCTACTCTACTCTATTATTATTTTCCAAAGCACCTCAAGACAAGGCAAGAAGCAATGGGTGGAAACTAATCAAGGAGAGAAGCAACCTAGAACTAAGGAGAACTAAGAAGAGACTGGACAGCCATTTCTCTGGAATGGCACAGGGTTTTCTACTTGAATCCCTATTGGACTAGAAACCTTCCAGCTCTATTATTCTGTATTGTTCCGTTCTGACCGTTTCTTGCAATCTACTTCCTTCTGCCATATGGTTCCCAAATTGCCGGGAGTATCCGAAGCACATTCCCCCTTACCTCCACAATGAACTGATTTACAGAATTCCTCTTAAAGAACATCCTTTGTTCCCTCTTGTTTTGGCACAGGGGTTTCTGTTGCGTGCAGATGCCGTCAGCCCCGTATAGAACAATAAAGACGTCAGCATCGGTACCCGCTCCCAAAATGTCACTGGTATAAACATTAATTTCGTAGGGAACAACTGGCCAGATGGAAACAAAACAAAAGGGACAGCGTGAGAAGGACAGGATTACTATTCTTCCTGGCCAACTTTACACCTGTCGTCAATAAAATGCATTTTACCAGGGCCAAGAATCCTGATTCAGTTATTATGACAACCTTTGATCTATGCATACAAGTGCCAAATTTGGGATGAATCTGTCATGCCCCAGTTGGAATTTGATTCCGAGGGAGGGGTGGAACAGCTGACAGGGTGTGGGAGTGTGGCTCCGGTGGCTGTGGAGAAAACTGGGGAAGGACACAGGCCGGCTAGGCATTCAGAGGAAGATTCAGGCCCACCCCTTCTTCATCCTAGGGCATGCAGGGAGGAGCGGATAAGGGATCAAAGTGGTTTACAGGGGAAGAAAGGGCCCTAATCCCCTTCATGGGCTGCAGCTGGGAAGACTGTTTAAAAGAGCAAACTGTACATGTCAAGTTGCTGGAAGCAAAGCATGCATTATCTTTGTTGAGGCTTATCTGGGTTTTTGGCATCCTCCCAAGTTTGTGTGCCTTGTTATCTTTTGGAAGTCTGCAAGTTATTATCCTGGTCTGTCATGTTAATTACCTCAATGTAGTTTGTGTTGGTTTTTTTATTTCTAATTATCTTTACTTTGGGTTTGGACTGCATTTCTTCCCTTTGTAGACTGTTTTTGGAAGAGTATGATCTCCTGCCAAGGATAATTGGACATTGTGGGCCAAGTTGGAGGGAATTTATCTACTTTGGTGACTTTGTTATTTTTGTGCCACGCCCTGGGTAATCACAGAATCCCTGTGGATGGCAGGAATCCGCAACAATTAGTAAGTAATCACCATTTTGCCTGCTGCTTCCTGCTTTTCCAATACCGATGGTCCTCGACTTACAACCACAACTGAGCCCAAAATTTCTCTTGCTACGTCAGACAGTTGTGAAGTGGGTTTTGCCCCCATTTTGTGACCTTTCTCGCCACCGTTGTTAAGTGTATCACTGCAGTTCCTAAGTTAGAAACCTGGTTGTTAAGTGAATCTGGCTCTTCCATTGACTTTGCTCATCACAAGGTCGCAAAAGGGGAATCGTGTGACTCCAGGATGCTTAAACAGACATAAGTATGAATTAGTTGCTGAGCATCTGAATGTAAATCATATGACCCTGGGGATGCTGCAACGGTCAGGAGTGTGGGAAAAAAGGGCCATAAGTCCTTTATGTAACTTCAAATGGTCACTTAATGAACTGTTGTAAATTGAGGACTTTCTATACAAGTTGCCAAGTTTGAGATGAATCCCTGTGGCTGGCGGGAAACCCCACCAATTAGTAAATAATCACCATTTTGCCTGCTGCTTTCTGCTTTTCTAATATAGCTATTCCTCGACTTACAGTCACATGGAAGTCAAATTTCTGTTGCTAAGCTGGACAGATTATTAATGGAGTTTTGGCCCATTTTGCGACTTGTCTTGCCACTGTTGTTAAGTGAATCACTGCGGTTGCTCAGTTAAGTAGCACAGTTGCCGCGTGAATCTGGAGCAGTTTTGAGTAGTACCCTAACCTCCCAACAATCCCTACATTCTTGCATAACCTTTAGTGAGATTTGGCCACCCTTGCCTTTTTAATAAACTATAGATTTATTATTTAATGCCATCAAAGTACATTGACTGATGCACTGATTAGTTGATGGAAAATGTTCCATTATTTTTTTCTGGTCTGGCATTGCTGGGCCTGTGATAGAAAAATGTTACTATAAAATAAAGCTGCTGCCAAAAAAGCCAGCACAGTCCTAAGCTGCATAAAGAGAAGGATAGAATCAAGATCACTTGAAGGGTTAATACCACTTTATAATGTCTTGGTAATGCCGCCCTTGGAATACGGCATCCACTTTTGGTCACCATGATGTAAAAAAGATGTTGAGATTCTAGAAAGAGTGCAGAGAAGAGCAACAAACGTGATCAGGGGCAGAGGTGGTATTCAGCAGGTTCTGACCAGTTCTGGAGAACCGGTAGAGGAAATTTTGAGTAGTTCGGAGAATCAGCAAATACCACCTCTGACTGGCCCCGCCCCCATCTCTTCTCCACCTCCCATTGAGTCCCAGCTGATCGGCTGGGTCTCCTTTGGTTGCCCTGCACAGGAGAACGGAGCTGGAAAGCAGGTTAGTGGGGTGGGAAGGGCATGGGGATTTTGCAGTAACCTTCCCCTGCTACACCCACCAAGCCACGCCCACCAAGCCACACCCACCAAGCCACGCCCACCAAGCCACACCCACAGAACCGATAGTAAAAAAATTTTTGAATCCCACCACGGATGGGGATGCTGCAACGGTCGTAAGGATGATAAACAGTCGTTTTTTTCACTGCCGTTGTAAGTTTGAACGGTCACTTAGCAAATAAGTCAAGGCTCCCTGTAGTGATTCAGCAACTAAAGGAAGTGTCTGTATCTGTTCTAGATGAGGATTCAAAGTTTGTCATTTCCATCCCTTACGCCAACATTGGCTGAGTCTTCCTTCACGGCACTATGCCTATTTGATTTCAGTTGTCTTAAGATGGTTTCATTTCAGTGGAGAATGTTTATTGGAAAGAAGAACTAGGGGTGACACGATAGCAGGCTTCCAATATTTGGGGGGACCGCTGCCACAAAGAAGAAGGGGTCAACCTATTCTCCAAATCACCTGAGGGCAGGACAAGAAGCAACGGGTGGAAACTAATCAAGGGGGTTAACTCAAAGATTCCTTTATTAGGAGCATCAGCAGCCCTGCCAAAAAAATTCTCTCTCACCGCAGGCTAACAAGTCCATCCATCCGGAAGATCAATAGTTGACTGTCACATCTATTCATCTGTTCCCCCTGCCTTTTATCCCCAGAACGAGAGTGGGGCTTCGCTAGCAGCAGTGGCTCTTCCATCCCGAGGACCGGCCCATAGATTTCCACTGCTCTCCTTTCCTCTGCCTTCTGTACATCTGCGCGTCAGGTCTTGGACCCAGCTGTTCCTCCTCTTCCTCATCAGCCACCTCCAGACCCGAGGGCTGTTGATTCTCCATCTGAGGTGATGGACAGCCCAGGTTCTGCCTCTCTGCCAGCTCCACTCCCTCTTCCCCCCACGCAGCTCTCAGGTTGTCCTGACTCCCATGCCGCCTCCACATCTGATTCAGTTGTGAAGGGGCCGGCGCAGTGATGAAGGGGTGACATGATGTGAAGGGGTGACATGATGGCAGTCTTCTAATATCTCAGGGGTTGCCACAAAGAAGAGGGAGTCAAGCTATTCTTCAAGGCACCTGAAGGCAGGATAACAAGCAATGGATGGAAACTAATCAAGGAGAGAAGCAACCTAGAACTAAGGAGAAATTTCCTTACAGTTAGAACAGTTAATCAGTGGAACAACTTGCCTCCAGAAGTTGTGGGTGCTTCAACACTGGAAGTTTTTAAGAAGAGATTGGACCACCATTTGTCTGAAGTGGTGTAGGATTTCCTGCCTAAACAGGGGGTTGGACTAGAAGACCTCCAAGTTCCCTTCCAACTCTGTTATTCTGTTATTTAGATTAAATATATTATTCAGTTAAAGGAGAAACCACATCACACCGATTATACAACAAAGGAAAAGGTGCAGCCCTAGTTTTCAGCAGCAGAATCGAATTTAAATATTTCAGGCAAGGTGCAAAAATCCTCACTTTCTTTTTCCAGCTTCCTGCTTGATCCTGTAACAGTTAAACAATCCTGTAACACCAGTACAGTTATTTAATCGGGACATGTTATAACACCCTAAGGCCTTTACGGCTTGCTAACAACTAAGCTTTCTGAAATGTTATCAGATCATTGGGGTTTTTTTTTTCCTTCTTCCTCTTGCAAGCTAAGTAAATAATCTGTAAGAGTGACGATGGAAAAATGAGATTATTGTTAAGAGGCACAAAGAATTCATTTAAGTGGAGCCATCCTGGGACCACACTTGGGTTGAAGAGCAGCCTTCCTTGTCAAGTGAGTGATGACAATTTTAATATTTACTCAGAAGAAGTAAAGAAAAGCATGACATGTCCGATGGACCGAAGCACTTTGCACATTAAAAGAGGGGGCAGGATGAGCATCTGCCAATATGTTTTCTCCTCTAGCAAAATCATCTGAAGCAACTCTCAAGGTTAACATCCCAGGCCACCTCAATGAACAGGCAGTCCTCGCTGTCGGGATTCCGGCAGTTACCCCAATTTAAATCATGAGTCTCGAGCCAAACTTCCAAAACTTTAAAAAAAAAAAAAACATTTATTGGGAGTTAACATGTCCGGCACTGCCTGGGTGTAGCCAACTCTGAAACACATCATTCATTGTCACCCTTGACCCTGGTTTTCCCCCCACCCCCTGGGTGTATCGTAATTCATATTCTCCAATGGGACTCTTCCATAGCCAAGAGTCATCAATCATGCTGTCAGCTGGTGCTCCGTTCAAAATCCAAGAAAGAAATACTTAGACTCTTGTAATTAGAGAAAAGATATCTTTTACTGGAAGTTAAGTGGTAGCAACAAGAAAATTCTGAATCTGGGGAAATAGGCACGTACATCACATATATCAAGGGAGTGAAATGTTCCCACCCCCAATAGTTCAAACGGTTCTTCCAATTAAAAGTTGTGAACTTCATCATGTGGACATCTCCAGGTGGTGATGATTAGTTGACCTTGGCTTACTCAGATAAAGGTTTGCAGTTGCGCAGAGAAGAGAAAGCTAAGCAGGAATTAGAAACCCTCTCCAGTTTATACAATATCAGTTAGTAACACTTTCAGCTCACGTCCCACACATTTCCCCCTTCCACCCCCCGTTACTCATGACAGCCAGAAAGAAGCAAAGGAAAGGAGGAAGATCTTGAAGGCTGACACGTGCTCTCCAGTTAGATATTTGCCTGGCAGAAACTTCAGTCACCTAGTTACTATCTTTGAACAACTATTTATGGAATGTACTTTTGATTTCCAAACTGTTGCACTGCTCTTTCAAACCCCTTTTCCCCCCCCTCCCTTTCTGGACCATAGAAATATTTTATGAGTTGACACTCGACTTACGAGGGTTCATTTAGTGATGGTCCAAAGTTACAACAGCAGTGAAAAAGGTGACTTATGGCCATCTTTCACACTTATGACCATTGCAGCCTCCCCATGCTCACGTGATCACAATTCAGAGGCAAAGGCAACTGATTCACATTTATGACGGTTGCAGCATCCTGGGGGGGGGATTTTCAGATGATCCCCTTTTGCGACCTTCTGATAAACAAAATCAATGTTAAGATTCACTTAACAACCGGGTTACTAATTTAACAACGGCAGGGATTCACTTAACAACTGCGGCAAGAAAGGTCGTAAAACGGAGCTGAATTCACTTAACAAATGTCTCACTTAGCAACAACATTTTGGAGCTCCATTGTGGTCGTAAGTCAAGGACTACCTGTAAACTAAGTTCTATTGTAGTTAACCCCCAAGTAACAAGATGTACCATTTTAGTCTGCTTTGTATCCAGTAATAATTATCAATACAGGTAGTCCTTGACTTACAACAATTCGTTTAGTGACCATTTGAAGCTACAACAGCACTAAAGAAGTTGACTGATCACCGTTTTTCACACTTATAACCATTGCAAATCCCTGTGGCCACGTAATCAAAATTCAGACACTTGGCAACTGTCTCGTATTTATGACGGTCGGCGTGTCCCAGGGTCACGAGATCCCCTTTTGAAACCTTCGGACGAGTAAAATCAAGGGGGAAGACAGATTCACTTAATATCCATGTTGCTAACTTGACAACTCGCAGTGAACTATGGCAAGAAAGGTCATTAAATGGGGCAAAACTCAACAACTGTCTCACTTGGCAACAGAAATTTGGACTCAACTTACGGTTGCAAGTCAAGGATTAAAAATAGTCCTCGACTTATGACCACAATGGAGCCCACACATTTCTTGTGATGACCCGGGGTGTGGCACAAAGGCAACACGGTCAGACAATCAATAAGAGTCCCTTTATTAGCTCCAACTTTGCCCCCAATATCCTGGTTATCTTCTGGGCTGGAGAAAAATTCTCCCAGGAACAGCCTTTGGCTGCAGAGAATCAAGTCCAAAACGTGGTCAACAAAAACTGTAACTATAAGTCCAATCAAGGCAAAATGAGGTAATTAGTCCAGCAGGGCAAGAGAAGGAATTCCAGACATGAAGGAGTGGCTGTAATTCAACCCAGTTGGGAGGATTCCAGGAACACAGATAACCAAAATCAACACAAGATAAACTCACGTTTGTTCCCAGCAGACGCCGCACTCAGCTTGCATCTCTTTTAAACTCTCTTCCCAGCTGTGGCTAAGGAAGGGAATCAGGGCCCTTTCCTCCCCTGTAAGCCATGCAATCCGCATTGCTCCCTACTCCGTTCCTCCCTGCATGCCCTAGGATGAAGAGGGGTTGGGCCTGGGTCTTCCTCTGAATGCCCTCTCCCTTGCTCTACCTCTCCCCTGCTTTGCCCAGCTGGACTTTGCCCTTCCCCAGTTTCCTCCACAGCCAACGGAGCCACAGTCCTGCTCCCTGTCAGCTGTTCGTCTTCCTCCTCGGATTCAGACTCCAACAGGGGGATGACATTTCTGTTGCTAAGGGAGACCTTTGTTAAGTGAATTTTGCCCCGTTTTACGTCTGTGTTTGCCACAGTTGAGTTGCCACACTGCAGTTGTTAAGTGAACCATTTGGTCATTAAGGGAACCTGGCTTCCCCCATTGACTTTGCTTGTCCAAAAGGGGAACATATGACCTTGGGACACTGCAACCGTCATAAATACGAGTCATCTGCCAAGCGTCTGAATTTTGATCGTGTGAGCACGGAGATGCTGCAGGGGTCATCAGTGTGAAAAACGACATCAGTCACTTTTTTTCAGTGCCACTGTAACTTTGAACGGTCACTAAATGAACTGCTGTAAATCAAGGACCGCCTGTACTTGTATTTCTTTCTGACGGAATGCAGTTTGATCTGCTACCGTGCTACTCACATGGGATGTAAGTCACTCTTTGCAGTTTTGCAGGAAACAAGACTCTTTCAATTGCTCCGTCATCTTCAGATTTATCCAGCCAACGACCACAAGGAAACTTCAGGCAAAGTCCAAGGCAAGGAGCATCCACCTCCACCCAGTCTAAAAACCATCCCTCAGAATGACCTGCAAAGAATAACAGAGTCGGAAGGGACCTTGGAGGTCTTCTAGTCCAACCCCCTGCTTAAGAACGGGGCCCTATACCAGTGGTGGGATTCAAATTTTTTTATTACCGGTTCTGCGGGCATGGCTTGGTAGGCATGGCATGGCTTCGTGGGCATGGTGGGGGAAGATTACTGAAAAATCCCCTTCCCTCCCCACCCCACTAACCTGCTTTCCAGCTCCGTTCTCCTGTGCAAGGCAACCAAAGAAGACCCAGCCAATCAGCTGGGACTCGGGAGGCAGAGAAGAGATGGGGGCGGGGCCAGTCAGAGGTGGTAAAGCCGAAGAGCCAGCACTGTCTGAAGACATCTCCATGGTCATGTGGCCGGCATGATTAAACCCCGAAGGTGCACAGAACACTGTTACCTTCCCACCAAAGTGGTCCCTATTTTTCTACTTGCATTTTTTTACATGCTTTAGAACTGCTAGGTTGGCAGAAGCTGGGACAAGGAACTCCGTCACGCAGCACAGAGGGATTCGAACTGCCCAACTGCCGACCTTTCTGATCGACAAGCTCAGCGTCTTAGCCACTGAGCCACCACATCCCTACTAGAGAGGTGACACTTAGGTGATCTTATCTGGCTGGGAAACCAAATAGGATCAGTTTGGTCAATGTCTGAATGAAAACTTCCACAGAGCTCATCAGATTAGAGTGAGAACTTGAACGACCATTTTAGAACAAAAGAAAGACAATTGGTTCCATCTCAGTGGCAAGTGAACGATGCAGGTATCTCCTTCTAAGTCACCAGGAGAGACTTACTTGTCATCTTGGAGCAGTTCCACTGAAGCATGGAGAACCGTTCTAGAGGAACACTAGATAGCAAAGCATTCGGTTTTTCTGATTCTCTTGTGATCTTCTAGAGCAGAGTTCTCCAAACTTGGCAACTTTGATGCTTGTGGGCTTGATCCCATGCTGGCTGGGGAATTCTGGGAGTTGAAACCCACAGATCTTAAGTTGCCAAGTTTGGAGATCGCTGATCTAGATGATTAGAAGAGAATCAGAAAAACCAAGTCTTTGCTTCCTGGTGTCCCTCTAGATTTTTTTATAGCCCAGATAAGATAGCTCTGTGTCTGAATAAACAATTCAGAGCTAATGGATCCTGCTTAGTTTTGCTTCCGTTTTAATTAGAATAATATTAAGTTTTAGTTGGCTGAGGAATTCTGGGAGTTGAAGTCCACAAGTCTTAAAGTTGCCAAGTATGGAGAGCCCTAGAGCTCTAGAACAAAGGTATACTCTATAACTTCCAGGTTTAACCTCTAGACTTTGGGGGAAGGAACATTTTTAAATCCAGGTAAATTTTTAGTTTCCCCAAAGGAGATAAATTGAGGTATAGACATTATGGTATCAAGTCAACCCATCCTACAACTCTCCAAAGATTTTCATGCCATCCTACCTGTATTATCATGGCCAATCTTTATCTTCTTCAGGTCTCCGAGGTCCACACATCCCACCGTGAAGACATCAACTTTATCTCGTTCAAATTTGTTCCGGTTAGTCTTGGAAGCCTTCAAGTAGATTGTCCCTGTTTGGGTTTTAATCACAAACTCTCATTGTTACAAATGAAAATAACTTGGATAGTGCCAGCAGTGACTACAGAAGACCAAAAGGTCTTGTTGTGGTCCGTCGGCAGCGGAGATGGCAGCAGAGTCGGACAGTGGGGAGGAACAAGGGCCAGTCCTGGAGTCTGGGGAGGACTCAGATGAGGATCCTGCGTCTGACACAGAGATGGAGCCAGGGCCATCTGGGAGTTATGTGCTGACTCCGGAGCCTCCAGAATCTGGCAGCAGCGAGGCAGAGGAACAGGGGGAGCCTGTTCCCAGTGCGCATGTGTGCAGAGCTGCCAGAAGGCAAGAGCAGCTAAGACAAAAGGGGCAACTCAGGAGTAAGGCTTGGAGGTGATTGGCCCCTTCCGTAAGACATAAAGGAGGAACAAAGGGACAAGAGCCTTTGCAGGAAGCAACTTTGTTCATTCTGGTCGGTTTAAACTCTGAAGGTCCATGTTGACTTTGTGCTCTGTTTGGTCTTGTACAACTAATTGGCAATTTAGTTGTTGGCAGCTTTCAAGGAAGATAAAGGTGTGTGCTTATCAGAATTATCCTGAAGGCTTATGGCAGACTTCCATGGGACTGTTTACAAACTGTTTGAGACTCATTACGGGCTGTGAATGACTATAATTCACAGCTGTTGAAATAAAGAAAAAAGGGTTTTGGAACTAACGTGTGTTTGTTAGTGTTCTTAATAAGCCTTGGTCAGGACAGGTCTTCTGCAATCATGACATAAGCCTAAGATTGAAAATCAGGCTTGTCAGATGCTATGTCTTTTCTATCTTGCTCTATGGAGTGGAGAGTTGGTCTCTCACAGAAAGCCACTTGAAGAGACTAGAAGCATTTGATTTACGGGTGGCTCTTACATATAAGTTATGCTGACAAAATCAGAAATGAGGAGGGGATAATCATCAATACCATTAAAAAGCGAAAATTAGAATATTTTTGGACATGTGATGGAAAAATATGGCACACTTCACTTAACCCTTCAAGGAAAGATCGGAGGCAAACGAGGTCCATGCAGAAGAAGAACATCATGGCTTCAAAATCTAAGGCACTGGTTTGGACAAAATTCAGCAGCACTTTTTTGTGTGGCTGTTGATAAAAATAGGATTGCCAAGACGCCAACATGATTGCCAATGTCCGATGATGGATATGGCACAAGAAGAAGAAGGTGCCAGCAGTACCATATTTAGGCACCTCTTAAGGACCTGTCCATTTAGGGCCCTTCAAGAGTGCTTTCTGCTACCTTAGAATAATTGAATGCAAGGGTTGGAAGAAACCTTGAAGAACATCCAATCCACCCCTCTATTCAGTGCAGAAATCTATTACAGGTAGTCCTCAAATTACGACCACAATTGGGTTCAACTTTTCTGTTGCTAAGCAAGACATTAAATGAGATTTATCTCATTTTACGACCTTTCTTCCTCAGTAGTTAAGCAAATCAACCCGCTTATTAAAGTAGAACCCAATTTAGAAATATATGGAAATGTGAAATATAGATAATAGTAAGATCTATTTAACAATTTTTTACTTATAGTTTTTGAAATTGGGCTTGATATATTTATACTTATAGTTGCATATATTTATACTGTATTTATTTATATATTTATGGATATATATTTATATATGGAACAATTAGAACAAGAATTGTATACATATATACATTAAACTATATTAGTATTAACATATAATAATTCCACATACAGTAGGATATTCATAACACTTCATTTATTTGCTTACTTGTATTTATTATTAATTGTATTTATTACAATTCATCATTAAGGAGAACCATATGTACTGTTAAAGTTGATTGAGTTTCGTAAAAAGAAAAAAGTACAATAAAAATATTTTTTTAAAAAAGTAGAACCCAATTGCTAAGTGAATGTAGCTTCCTCACTGATTTTCCCTGTCAGAAAGTCACAAAAAGTGATCACGTGATTGTGGGACACTGCAACCATCACAAATACAGGCCAGTTGCCAAACACCTCAATTTTAATCACATGACCATGGATATACTGCGTTGGTTGAGTGAGAAACGGTCATAAGTCACTATTTTCAGAGCCATTGTAACTTTGAACAGTCACGAAACAAGTGATTGTAAGTCGAGGATTATCTGTACTACAGTATCCATGACAAATGGTCATTTAAACTGTATTTAAAGATGACCAGTCCACCAATTCCTGAGACAGCCTTTGTCCCAAAGGTGCTTTTTTTTTCAAGAGGCAAGTGGAGTTTCTGGTTTTTTCTTTGAAGATGTGTCGCTTCTCATCCAAGAAGCTTCTTCAGCTCTGACTGGATGGTGGGGAATGGAAGGATTTATACCCCTTGCAGACAGCTGGTCGTTTGTACCCTTTTAGAGAGTCGTTGAGGCCACTTGGAGGTCTGTCGGTGTCCTCAGGGCCACCTGAGTAGTGCAAATGGGTGTGGAATCTTCTTGGAACTGCTGAAAGGACCGTGTTGTAGACTGGACATAGATGATCTCCTATCCTTTCTCCTCTGTTGAGAGAAGGCTGTTCAATTTTGACATAGATGGCCTCTTTGACCCCTCTTTGAAACCAGTGGTCCTCTCTGTCCCAAATAGGGACTTTGCTGTCTTCAAACGAGTGGCCTGTGTTTTTTAAATGCAGATAAATCATCCAGTCAGAACTGAAGAAGCTTCTTCGATGAGGACTGCAGAAAAAACAACTGCAACCAACCTATCTTCCAACGAGGACTTATATACTGCACAAGTTAAAAAGAGGGCTGTGAAAATATCTACAGACCCCTCACATCCTGGACATAAACTGTTTCAACTCCTTCCCTCAAAACGACGCTATAGGGCACTGCACACCAGAACAACTAGACACAAGGACAGTTTTTCCCCGAAAGCCATCACTCTGCTAAACAAATAATTCCCTCAACACTGTCCAACTATTCACGAAGTCTGCACTACTATTACTGTTAATCTTCTCACCACTCCTTTATCACCCATCCCCTCCCACTTGTGACTGTATGACTGTAACTTTGTCGCTTGTATCCTTATGATTTATATTGACTGTTTCCTAGTATGATTTGATTGCTTATTTGTACCCTATGACTTTAAGTGTTGTACCTGATGATTCTTGATTCTTGATGAATGTATCTTTTCTTTTTATGTACACTGAGAGCATTTGCACCAAGACAAATTCCTTGTGTGTCCAATCACACTTGGCCAATAAAGAGTTCTATTCCATTCCATTCCATATTTTCTATTCTATTCTGTTCTGTTCTATTCTATTCTATTCTATTCTATTCTATTCTATTCTATTCTATTCTATTCTATTCTATTCTACTCTACTCTACTCTACTCTACTCTACTCTACTCTACTCTATCTTCAAAGAAAAACGAGAAAGTCCAGTTGACTCTTGAAAAAAAAGCACCTTTGGGACAACCATGACCTGGATGGCTGAAAATCTCCATAGACATTTAGCCCATTCCTTTGTCAAGCAGTACCTGTCGTTAGCACATTTTAATTATAAGGAAGTAGTGGACTTGATAGGTGGACAAAAATGCCAAATCCAGTCTGAACATCTGGCTGACTGTGTGATGAACCGAAATAATATATTAAATTTATATGCTGTCCAACACCTAGCAATTTCAGGTAAGATAAATTATTTTTCCTACTTTAAAGGTTGCACCTGTTTAGGACACAATATGGACCAGGTGCACATGGCATATTTCCCCATCATTTTCAATCTTCAGACAGTCATAAAATCCATCCAGAGATTGGTTTTGTACATCCAGATTTTGTACATTCACTGTAAAAATCGAGAGCGAAATAGCAAGAGGGAACTCCTTCTAGTTATTACCGGGACTGAACATAAATGACTCTGCTCTTAATAATAAGCAGGATTAATAATTATTATAAATAATAATTATTTATAATTATTGATTTATTTTAATTTCTTAAAATTTATTGATTTATGTACTTATTAATTTTATTTAATTTATGTAATTTTATTTATTTCATTTAATTTATTTCATATAGTTATTTATTTATTTTGTTTATAATTATAATTTATGAATTATAATTATTATTAATTAATAAATAATAAATTAATAAATCGTTAGGGACATGGTGGCTCGGTGGCTAAGACGCTGAGCTTGTTGATCAGAAAGGTCGGTGGTTCAAATCTCTAGCACCGCATAACTTGTCCCAGCTTCGGCCAACCTAGCAGCTCGAAAGCATGTAAAAATGCAAGTAGAAAAATAGGGACCACTTTGGTGGGAAAGTAACAGCGTTCCATGCACTTTGGGGCATTTAGTCACATGACCATGGAGACGTCTTTGGACAGCACTGGCTCTTCGGCTTTGAAACAGCGCTGAACACTGCCCCCTAGAGCCGGAAATGACTAGCATGTATGTGCAAGGGGAACCTTTACCTTTAATAATAAGCTGGAAAGAAACCTCAGAAGGCCCCAAGAAGAAGCCACTTCCACCCATCCACCCACCCTTAAAAAAGTCTCCAAAAATATTTATTTCAGATGTAAAGGACAAAAATTATTTGATTCAGCTGTACAGGTAGTCATCGACTTATGACCACAATGGAGAGCCCAAAATTTCTGTTGCTAAGCGAGACAGTTGTGAAGTGAATTTTGCCCTATTTCCCATTTTTTTTTTTTGCCGCTGCTGTTGAGTGAATCACTGCAGTTGTTAAGTTAGTAACACGGTTGTAAAATAAATCTGGCTTCCCCATTGACTTTGCTTGTCAGAAGGTCGCAAAAAGGGATCATGTGATCCCAGGATATTGCAACCGTCATAAATATGATTTAGCTGCCAATCGGTTGAATTTTGATCGCGTGACCGTGGGAATGCTGCAATGGTTGTGTGAAAAATGTCACTTTTTTTCACTGCTATTGTAACTTTGAACTGTCACTAAACAAATGATTGTAAATCGAGGTGTCAACTCGTAAAACATTCCTATGCCCGATTTCGAGTTGCCATAAACAAGGGGGAGGAAGAAATCTGAAGGAGAGTACGGCAGTTTAAAACCAGAAGCACATTCCATGCTTATCTTACAAAGATTGTAGCTAGGCTACCGGATCTTCTGCCGGCAAAAATCCTTCCTTGGAGAATGTGATTGATTACATCCAGCCCATGCTTCATTGGATAATCTTTTTATTTTTCTTATATGTATCCATTTCATGTATTCATAATTATGTTTATACTTATACCTGTTATCTTATAACCGCTTGACAAAATAAATAAATAAATAAATATAAATCTGATTTATGAAACACCCAGAGGGGAGGGGGGAATGGGATCACAGGTGACTGTAAATTATGTATGCCAGAGTTGGCTGCATTTAGGTTAATGCCGACATGTTGCTCCTAATAAATCTTTTGGATTCTTTTGAAGCTTGGCTCGAGGCTCATGATTTAATGAGGGCAATCGTCGGAACCCTGACACGAGAACCACCTTCATTGATGAGCGAACAAAACATGTGAAGATTTTAAAAACTGGCAGAAGGAGCCAATCAAAGTGCTGAGCCAATTTTCCTGCATCTTGGGCTACTCATTAAACCAGTGGCCAACATCCACCTGAATGATTTGCAAAAGTGAGTTTGGCTCCTACCTGTGTCATCTTTTGATCCGTAAAGGATGATAAAGACATTGGAGTCTGTCCCGGCATTTTTCTTGTCTCCTGTTTTCACCCTTACTGTGAATGTAGTTGAATTAGCTGTTTAAAAAAAAAAAAATCTCTGTTTGGGAAAGGCCATTTCTGAGATAGTCCGAATTTAGTTCCCTTTTTGTTTCACATTTACAAGTTTGTTTTTAATGAAACAAGAAAGGCAGACATTTCATGGCCCAACTAAGCAACACCATCAGTGCTAGAAGGGAGTAGGGTTTGTGAAATTGGAGGAAGAAGCGGAGGAGGAGGAGGAAAAGAAGGACAAGGGGAGGAGGAGCAGGACTGTGGGCTCCTTGGTGCTCTCTGAGCTTGGTGGTTTTCTGGCAGATGTTTAATCACCCAAACTAGGTTTTGTAATCAGCTAGTACTGATGATGTTACCTAGGTGGGTCATGAAACGTCTTCAAGAAAATCATCAAGTTCAGAGAACGCCAAGGACCCCACAGTCCTGCTCTTCGCCTTCTCCTTCTTTTCCTGCTCCTCTTCCACCTCCTCCTCCAACTTCACAGACCCTCTCACTTCTAGCACTGATGATGTTACTTAGCCAGGTTATGAAACATCTGAAAGAAAACAATCAAGCTCAGAGAGCACCAAGGACGCCACAGTTCTCCTCCTTCTTCCCATTCTCCTTTTCTTCTTCTTCCTCCTCCTCCTCCTCCTCTTTGTTCTAAAATCACAGCACTCCCAAACCACAAATGATGGTTTATTCAAGTTGTGCTACTCCGTAGTCTCAGTTTCTTCTACATCATACAAATGGACAGTAGCAAACCTTTCTGTTCCAAGCCCAGGGTTGCAATAGAGCCTGCGTTCTCCGAATCCTTCATCACAAATGCTTCAGCCACTGGGACAAGCTCCCTGGCAACCTGACCGTCATCTTCTTCCACTGCCAACCACCTCTGGCAGGGGAAATAATACCTGCAAGCATAATACAGTTTAGCATCAGCCCGCTCTCTGTTGAGGAGAAACAGGCCCATTTCAGCACAAGCATCACCTTTCATCAGAATTAAGTCTGCCTTCCATAGAAGACTTTGCAGATTGGGCAGGTCAGAAGGAGGGCTGAAAAGATACAGTATCTGCAGACCCTTCACATCCTGGACACAAACTGTTTCCACTCCATTCCTCAGGACAGTGCTAAGGGGCACTCCATTCCATTCCATTCCATATTTTCTATTCCATTCCATTTCATCCCAATCCACCCTTCTCCTCTCCTCTCCCCTCTCCTCCCCTTCCATTTCTATTAATTCTTATTCCATTCATTCTTATTCCATTCCATTTCATTCCATCCCATCCCATCCCAATACATCCTTGTCTTCTCCTCTTTTGTCCTCTCCCTTCCCCTCCCCTCTCCTCCCCTCTCCCCTCTTCTTCCCTACCATTTCTATTCATTCTTATTCCATTCATTATCATTCCATTCTATTCATTCTTATTCCATTCCATATATTCCTATTCTATTCTATTCTATTCTATTCTATTCTATTCTATTCTATTCTATTCTATTCTATTCTATTCTATTCCATTCCATATATTCTATTCTATTCCATTCTGTTTTGTTCCTTTCCATTCCATTCCGTATATTCCATTCCATTCTATTCATTCTTATTCCATTCCATATTTTTTATATTTTCCATTCCATTCCATATTTTCTATTCTATTCTATTCTATTCTATTCTATTCTATTCTATTCTATTCTATTCTATTCTATTCTATTCTATTCCATTCCATTCCATTCCCTTCCCTTCCATTCCATTCCATATATTCTATTCTATTCTATTCTATTCCATTCCGTTCCATTCCCTATTCTCTTCCATCCTGTCCTCTTCTGTTCCACTCAGCTCTTCTCCACTCCATATTCCATTCCACTTCCATTTGATTATCAGGTGGCATTTTCTGGGTAGAATGTACTTGGTAGAATACAAAATTAGGCAAAAAGTACACAATTTCTAAGAGCAAAAGGATCTAGAAAGGTCACAGGATTAAAAAAAAAAAAAAGTGGAGATTTGTTTTACATTTGGTTCTCATCCTTTCCTAAACAAATGTCAGCTATTTTGAATTGTGGAACTATTTGGAGAAGGGGGACAGCACATGCATTTGACCCATGAATGGCATACTGAAGTTCCATTCCAAAAGCAGACAAGGAGACAAGGATTTTTTTAAAAAATCGAGGACTGCCTATATGTTGTGGCTCTATATTAAGCTCTGTCCTCCGAAGCTGCAGTCTTGTCTGCAACTGCTGAATTGAAACTGAAACTCTGCTGTTCTCTCCTCTGCCTGTGTTTTGCCTATAACTGCTACCACATTGGAAGAATCTGCTGTTGGTCTTGTACATTTACTTCACATATTATTATGTACTTAAAGAAGTTAATGAATCCTGCTGAATAAGTCATCTGTGTGTGCTTTCTGGATCTGAATTTCTGCTGCATTTCTCCTATGGATTCTAATTCCAACAAATTGAATTTTGGGAGACTAATTTGGAGTAGCTGCTTGGCTAATTAACTCTTGACTCAGTCTCACATCCTATCCTC